AACCTTGGCGCAGGGGGGGGGGGAACAAAATGAGACCTGTGACAAAACTAGCACCAGGGGAAGAATAAGTGATAATTTGTATTCAAACAATGGTTATCTCGTTTGATATTTTAAATACGAAGATAATTTTTTGATATAATTATTTATATTACATTATATAAAATATATGCGAATATTAACGAATTTTCCGATAATATGATCCCTATGTTGTTGTTTTTTCTAGAGAAAATAAAAATTATTGATACACTGTATAAACGTTCTTAACTTAATAAATTATTTTAGTGGAAACCGCCGCTATTAAATGGCAGGGAAGGGGAGGGGGTTAAAGTAGAATTCAAGTTTACTTGTCCGGGTATTTATTTGTCATAATCATCTATTCAAACATGAAAAGGAATTAATTCTGCCTACAGTGTATCCCCACCCCCACTTGCCCTGCCGTGCACCGGACTGCCCAAATCCACCCTGCTCCTCTCCTCACCCCTCGCCCTCAGCTGTCTCGCCTAGTCACGCGCCTGCCCGCCTTACCCTGCCACGTTCACAACCAAAACAATTTCTATCATCCTGAAAAATATATAGCAATTCAAAAGGGTACTAGAAACGCTCGTTGAAAAATGTACAGGTGACATCAAATTGCCCTGAACGTGACAATATAGCACCGCGCTCAACAGATGCGCTGCGACTTCAATGGTGCCGCCAGAAACGATTCTGCTGTCCCGGACAGATTGTGCTTGATGTGGACATTTCAAACAAATATTTTTTCATTACTAATTTTCTAGCACATTTAAACGTGTCACTTACACGTGCAGTCATCGGGGATTTGCAACTTTTATATATAATATTAACTGATAGATTCAATGCGTGAGGTATGAAAATAATCATTAAAAACGTAGCAAATGCAAGAGGAAAATGAGAAGGATTCTAGGAAAATGAGTTCATTTTCTTCAGGAACAAATTACTAAAGAAAAACATTTTTTTGCATCCACTCGTGATGTGATATGAACGGATATGTTCTCCCCACATCCTAGGTGAATATGAGTTTTAAACTTTACTCTCTCGTGACGTTACGAAGTCACTTAAGAATTTTTAAAACTGAATTTTAATAAGTAAAGGAATGATAGCAAACGTCTTGGAGGAAAATGATATGAAAATAGTTGTGGATATGACTTTGAAAGGTACCCGTTCCATTACGATATGAATTTCCAGCGTCTTCATTTCTACTTCTCTCTCGCGTTCCACTTCTTTCTCTTGTGTCGTATGTCTTAGAAACTGTAGACTACCAAACACAAATGTTCGCTTTTCTGGTGAATTATGTAATGAGTGCGGACATAAATGATACATTGAATACTTCATAGTTTACCATTAATACAAGACTGTTATCACAAGATGAAAACATTCGCAAAAATCGAATCCGCAGCCCAAATTGAAGTGGTTGCTCGAGATGCCTTCGCTATTTAAAATGCTGTAATGTTTCTTCGTAACTATCCTATATTTTAGAATATAAGAAGCTCGTGGAATACAAGATACATGCATTTTGTAAGGAATTGAATGAGCCATAATTGACTATTTTAATATTTTTTACTTGCTGTTTCCATGCATCAACAAAGTAAATTGTGTACGAATAACGTGTTTATAAATAAAATTACCTGAGTTTATAAATAAAATTTTTTGTAAGAATTTTTGTTTTATCATTTACCATTGTACCTGAAACAAATGTGGTTCGAATCTGTGCAATTGAGTGAGGCGACCACGAAAAATCGCCGTACATTACATACGCCGTAATTTTTCGGCGTACAACTACAATAATTTCTCCTCTTACGAAGTAAATGCCAGAAAGTAAAAGTGAAAAAGTGCAAATACGAGACACCTCAATTTCTGACCTTGAAATCGCACTAGGCGAGATTCGACTTCCTGTAATCCTGTTTTTTAAAAAAAATCCTACGAAACCAGAAGTGAGCGTAGTCCTCCCAGGTGGGCGTGTACCCGCGAGGGCGCGGGGCCGAGCCCAAGTAGGTCGGAGGTCAGAGATCGCCGTCGCGTGCGCGCCCGTAATCCCGCTTTCGTCGGGGCGTTGGCGAAAACGGCGTTTCGGGAAGCGGCACACGGCCACCTCCAAAAATGTAATTGCGTTTAATCGACGCTACATTTAAGCCACACGCCTCTAATTAGCCTCGAAACGATATTTCATCGAAATCGATCCACCCCCAGCGAGCGCCGTCGAAGTCGCTTAGCAGCGCCGATCGCAGACCGGAAGGCAGAGGAGGAGGGGAAGGGGGAAGGGGGAAGGGGGGAGAAGGGGGTGCGAAGAGGGGGCGGAGGCTTCCCGGCAGGTGAAGGTCACGCATTAGGGCGCAGCTTATATCACACAGCGTAAAGCAGACATCGCTGGCGTGTGTGCTCGTTCTATTCGGGCGCCGGGCCCCTTCGCATCTCATTCGGGAATGCTGATGCGAAACTTCCCCCTTCGTGAATGTTTCGAAGTAACTTTCGCCTCCGGTGGCTCAGGGCATCAGCTGATGTCACTGCAGAGACTCTGCCCGGAGATCCTAGGGTTCGAGACCCGACGTTGAGAGACTTTTCGACACTTGTTAGGTAGCTAGGTCGAATTCAGTCGCTGTCTCAAGGAGAATTCTAACGCTTGGCTCATCTGATTATTAGTTTGCCGTGATTTTTTCGATTAATGCAAGGCAATGCCGGAGCAGTACCTATCAAACCGGACCGCGCGCGCTCTATCCCTCCTCTTCCCTGTCCTGTCTTTACCTTTTAGCTTCCACACACTTCCACTGAAATGCATTACTACACATTAAGAGGCCAGTCGGAAGTTTAGAGCTAGCGGCTGAGAGGGTGCCACGCAGGGTGAGATACCTTTGAGTGTAATATTCCGCAGTACGTCAGCGCCGAATCCGGCCATTCAGCGAGGGAAACAACACCTCCCGCGATAACACATCCCTTACACTTACGGGAGTAATGACCTTAGTAGTTTATCTCATTCGGAAACAAGAAATAATCAATCAATCAATGGAAGTAACTCCGTGCTGAAAAAGTGACAATGTTATAGCGTATATTACCTTCATTCTCAACTTTCGTAACCTATGTAATCATATGATCTGCTTACCTGTACAACATTCTACTCTTTGAATGACTGATTAATTTGGGTCCTTTCTCATTGGTCCCGTAAGTTTATTACATGTTACAATGCTGTAGGCAATGTTCCTCCTCCATTAGAACGTGAGATATGGTGCCGACCAACACATTGCATTGCGGGGTTTCTCTCTCCAGATAGGTTTTTGTCCGCTAGTGGGGTGGTGATCCTACTGGGAAGATTTCTCTAAGCTAAAGACTGTCTCTGATCTTCCGTCATGAGAGGTAATGTACTGCATGTAAGTGTTGTGTCCTGGATGTAATTGCAAATATGTTTACGAGGAGAGGGCAAGGAGGAGAAAGGAAAGATAGCGCGCGGTTCGTGGCCTTTTTCTTAGTCCATTCAAAAGCTTAGAGCTCGTCCCGGCCGCGCGGTGCCCCGCTGGTGGGAGGTACCTTGATATGGAAAACCCCGCAAGCCGGAGTGCAGGTCGTCGCCGTATCTCACCATCCAGGGGGGTAGAACACCGCCACCTCCTGTGATCCAAGTTCACTATAGAACGAATGACCAGAGCAGTAAACGTGCCCGGAAACAATAACAAACCACGCTCAGCCCCATCCCCTATTTCAACAATGTAAATCCACTATACAGCTTCCACCTCGAGGGCGCAGCTGTGGATTCTCTGATGGCCAGCCGCATTGTCAGACCTCAGCCCAATCCTAAATGTTGGCGATAATGTGGAGTGTGCGAAGACGACTCTACTCCAAACAAGCAATATGCGAAAACCGCGCACACATATGCATGCTGCATGTGATGGACTATCCTAAGGCTCTATTTGAGATCTGTACAACTCTATTTTGCGACGTCTGGGCGAGCGTGTTTGCCAATACAACGGTCGGACGCCGTACTAACATGTACCATTTGTGGCCGTGTACCGTAATAAATGGTGGTCCTTGTGAAATATAATCATTTGGTATGTGTAATATCAACTTCCTGCCTGCCAACAACATTCGGAATCTACCATGTCCTTCTGAGTGGTGAGATCTAATATAATGATGATGATGATGATGAGAGTGTATATGAAAATGTTCATTTTATACCCTTTGATCAAAGAGACTTCTGTGGTTACTTTATTCCTCCTGTTTAATTTTAAGTTTTAAAGTATTGAAAAAAGCGCATGATAAAATATCATAGGTACATTACATTCATGCGCCAAAATTATACATTTTCAAATTTTGACGCGAGATGGTTGGCGGGAGAGGGGGGGGGGCTGTGAAAGTTAACGCGAAATTCGATTGCTTATTAACAGTAATTACACTGTCCCAGCATGTTTCATAATCAGTTTAGCCGAAATTTAGTTCGATCATTACCGATATTTATTTGAAATTCAAAAAGCTTCATAAAGTCTAATTAAAGTATTTATGATACGATAAATTATTAAAATAATAATAATAACAACAACAACTTATTCCGAGTCACAGATCGAAATTTTTGCTTACTAACAACCAGTTGCGACCCCATCACCATTTAAAAGTAATATTACAAATAATGTTTGTTCAAAGAATTGACAGCCCAAGCTGGGACTCAGAGCGGGTACCGAGAGATGCGTGTTAGATTCTCGGGACAGTGTAATTCTTCGAACAGTCAATCATAATTTCCAATAATAATAATAATAATAATAATAATAATAATAATAATAATAATAATAATAATAATAATAAATTGCAGTAACGGAGACTCTTGAGACATTTATTTCTAATTGGGCGAGGAATAACTTGTTACCATTGATCCCACAAGGACTGACTAAGAGCCTGATCAAAAGGCTTGGGCCCACTTTCCCTCATCGCCTGCAACCCCCTCCCCTTCCCCAGGGCGTGCCTGCACTCACTTCCTCCGACGAGCCGCCCTTGGCGCCGCTCCGGGGACGACGACGCGAGACGCGCTGGTCGGCAAACGGGCGATGACGCGTCTCGGGAGGGGGGAGGCGGCTCCGATTACGCCATCGGGCGCGCCGGGCCGGATGCGCGGCGGGCGGGGCGAGGCGGGCGGCGGGGCTGGCGGGCGGGCGGGGCGGGGCGGGCGTTGGAAGCGCGCAAGGCGATATTGCTCGCGTAACGAGCGAGCCAATCAATACGCGAGTCTGCGCGCCTGCCGCCGCCGCCGCGCGCCGCGGCGACGACGGAGTAGGCCACATGCGCGCCGGAGAGTCATTGAAAAATCGATGGCCCTGCGCTGATCCGGGCGCGGCGCCCCCGCAGTAAATCAGTCGCCGCCGCCGCCGCCCAGCATCCGCAGATCTCGCGCCGCGCCACGCACTGGGCCCGAACACGCCGAAAAGCGCGAGCAGCAAGAAAAAAAAGGGAGAGTAAAACATGTAGTCGGAGGATTCTGCGGGGACAGTCCATGTTTTTTTGTGTTTGCTCTCGGCCGTAGGCGGCCGAGTGACGTAAACGGCTTAGTCAATGATTCGGCCGTTCTTTTGTTGCCTTCTTCAGGGCTGAAAGGGCTTGGTGTTTTTGTCTACGCTGTTCAGGAGACGCCGAAATGAACGAAATATCGTCTGTTGAGATAAAAAAGATATCTTCTGGAGAGGCAGAAAGGATTAAACATTTTTTTAACATAGTGGATAAAAAGTGCGCAATACAAATAACGGATATAATTAAAAGCCAGAGGAATTATAAGCCTCGGGTACTCAACAGTGTAGCATATGAAAGAAATTTAATGAAAGATGAATGAACGATCATCAATGTGAAAGGTTTAAAAACAAACATGATCCTTTAAATCGTTGGTCCTGCCTTCCGCCTTCCAAATCCCGCCGGTGAATATTGATTGATTGATTACTTCCTGTTTTCGAGGGCGTATTATTAGTTCCGTAGGAATATTGCATGTTTTACATGATGGCTGGTAGAGTTTTCCCCCAACCATGTATCTCCCATGAGCGGCCAGACAACATGAACTCCTGACTGGCCTCTCGGCATGTGTGGTAGTGTATTGCGTGTGCGTGTGTGTAAATATGTGGTGAGTATATGCCAAAAAAGAAGAATTAAATATCGCGAGCAGTCCAGGGTCCGTTTGTTGGGGGTACTGCTCCGGCATTCGTCTAGTGTTGATGGAAGAAACCACAAACAACTACCGATCAGAACAGTCGACCGATACAATTCTCTTCTAGACAGCAGCGCCTGAATTTCATTTAGCTATCCAGCTACTTTCCACTAGAACGGGGTCGTCTGGACCCGAACACTAAGACCTTCCTTTCAGATGTACTGCAACGGCATCTGTTGATGCCATGAGCCACTTATGTTGGTCTCAAATTAAGATAAATTCCTGACCATCTTGATCACCACTGATAATCACAACGTTTTAATTAATTTTTGCAAAACATTTCTTAGGCCATCACAGGAAATCCGCAATGCGCATAGCTTTATGTGTCAGTTGGTCGAACTGCGTGCGGACCCCTTCCCTAGGCGTCTTGGCGGTTCCGCGCCCAACCATAGGGTGCGAACGCTCGCCCGCCTGCGCTATCGCGATTTTATTCAACGAACTCCCCGACCGCCCCTGACCCGCGCCCGGCGCTCTCGCCGCCCACTCCGGCCGCGCACGCTCAAATCCAGGAAGATCTATACGAAATCTCAGGTGGACAAACGCCGGCTCTCGTGGCTTCACGAGGCAATGGCCGTTTCTCTTGCTTTTCTGACTACCATCTCCAGCGTTTACATAACCTGAAGCGATTGAGTAACTGAGCATTGCGTGCCATAATCCCGTAAAGCTAGTCATTTCAAATAGAAAAAATATTAAATGGAGATAAATAGATAAAAAAGTGGAAAGTATTAACCCCGTTGAAGAGTGTTGATATTTCTTGATATGATAATAATGTTAATCATTACATAGTGATCACATATGATATTTGAGTTAATGAGTTGTAGCATAGGCGTCACAGCCGGGCATTCGGGGAACGCAACTCCCCCCTTTCTTTTTGGTATGTGGAGTGCATTGAAGAACATAGGAGGGGATTCCGCAAAAACATACTTATCTACTAAATGTGCCGTCCCTCCCCATATAAGTTGCTAGTGACGTCTGTGGTTCCTAACAAGATGATATACTTCAATTCATTTCTTTCACCCATATTGTCCTCGTAGAAGTGTATTGCGTTTCGGGACATACAAGAATATTACGGAGGACCTGGGGTTCGTGTCCCGACGGTGGCGGAATTTCACCACTAATTACATAGCTATGTCGAATTCTTTCTCTATCTGGAAGAGAACTCTAGTGGTCGGCTGCTATGATAGGTAGTTTTCTGTAATTTCTCCGATCAATAACAGGTGAATGCTGGAGTAGTACAGTTACGTACGGGTCACGAACCGCAAGGGATCTTTCTTTCCCTTCCTTGTCCTTTCTTCTATCCTTCCGCAGATGCACCAGACTATAAGCATGTTAGGAGACCAGACGGGAGCTTCACGCAAGTCCTCGCGTTGGGATCATGCCCTGCTGGATACATACCTGAAGGGGAAGCACCCCGCAACGTGCCGTGTAGTTCGACACTGGATCTCACCGTCGAGTGGGAAGAATACCTCCACCTCACGCGGTAAAATATTCGATACATTAATGGGACTAATGACCAAGGCAGTGGACGTGTAAGGAGTCATCAATCAATAACCCCTTTTCTTCGAAAACGTCACAGCGCGGCAGGAATTCACTGAACCGACTTTCGTGACCATGCGGAAGGGATCGCACGGGAATGGAAGGTTCAGGCTTGGAGTTCAGAAAGGAAAAATATGATTATCGCTCAGCTTAATTGGGAACTGACCCAGCATCCTTCTGGAAATGATCGCACCAAAAGACCGATCAGACAATCTGCAATCCGAAATTCTCACCTAGCCATCTCTCAGGTCAGCTGCTTGACGTCAAATATCCACCGAATCACCGAAAAAAGAGGTATTAACGCCAGATAATTACGTTTGTGAAACGTCTCAATTGCAATCCGATATTACTTAAAGGCTCGATGGTGTTATCTGACATTACATGCCCCTCACGGTCCTCTTAGCCCAGGCACGTGCGTGCTGCGATCCGCGTCCGTTGGCCCTCCCCATTATCTCGATGACCCGAAGCTCTCCGTTCTCCCTTCCTTTTCCGCTGTCGCAGTGCGCGTAGAATCGCAGGATTTCCCGGCGGCGCAAAAATCAATTGGAAGGCGTTCGCCCGTCGCCTTGTTTTACAGGAGAAACTTTCCCCGACCGACGACTGGCAAGCTGCTGCGTGCGCGAGAGGGCGACAAGATTATCGTTCACTCCATGTGCGAAAAAGCGGAAAGCCACGGAAGACATTTATCTACGAGTGGGCGCTCCTGCTCAATTAGTGCACTCGTGCGTGAGTTTGATACGCATGAGACTTCGCGCTTTGCTGTATACCTTAGAGCACTTCGCTTGGGCGACGGCAGAGATATGTGTAAACTCTGGATCTTCATTAAAAACAATCAGTACTTTTCCGTTACTGTCAGTTCAAATTTTATACAAAACGTAGTACATAGTGTATAACTGCGCAGGGAAGAAGATGGGGTTAAGTCTCACTTGTTAAATACAACAGATAGATTCACTGAAAATGGTATAAATTATCCCCAGTACACTTGTATGACTGTTAATTCTTAATATTAAATTATATATTAATATACATTGGGTGACACATCTTCGATTCATAATAATTATACACTTCATCTCTCAATAGCCTTAGGAAATTCCTCCCAGCAGACTGATTCTTGTTTATCACATATCTCCTATTCGTTGTCACCGTCACGTATTTACCTATGCTAACTACGTCGTATAGACTAATCTCAACTTCATCTGGTTCAAGTCTGATATCTTTAAATTCTCCTACTTCGTATGTTATCCATAAATTTTGTATAATGTGAACAACAACCGGATAATTCTGGAATTAGACATTTTTGGACTTAAGTCGCTACATTCAAAAACTTCTTTTTTAGTATTTTTGTATGGTTCATTTTCCTTTTACCTATGAATACATGGATCTTTTATATCTTCAAAATACGTTGATAGCTTCTACGGTAAAAATCAATCTTCGTTCTTTGGCACAGAGGCCAATTATTATTCGTTATTTATAATGATTATTGTATTAACACCAATAATAATTAACACAATAACTGTTCAGTAAAAAGGTTCTATAATTAATTCATATTCAGTGTATGGCTTTTTGTTGTAATACGTTTTGTTGTGTATCAATCTTCTAGCTGCATATGTTGGAACAGAACTTGATTCCTGCACTCTCACTTTTCCATGGCTTAAAAAAATGTTCTCGAGGATTCAATCCGATATGAATTTTCTCGAATATAGTAACATAATATTAATTGCAAGTGTCTGAAATAAATTAGTATTGTCATAAAGAGACACAGCAAAGCTTAAATTAAAAATGAATGGAATTGAACTATGATGCCAGGAAATGAGATAGTCTTACGACTGACTCTAATAAGGGATAAAACCAACAATAAAGCAGACCACTGATAGGGAAATGGATACAATTGGAGAAAACAGGGAAACTTGGAAACCAAGCATATATGACAAAACCATGAGAAATGCCACAGTCTGTGATATGAGAGAAGGACGGCCCTCAGTTCACAGTCATGTCACTAAATAAATACCACCTCACTTTTCTTACGTCAAACACATAAGAAGAAGCGAACATATTCCTCACACACGTGGTCCAAAAACAAATATATACTTGTACTGCTCCGCACAGTGCACGGGAAATTAGGCTTTGACAAGAACTGCGGACGGCCGCTGCGGGTCGTTGCGGCGCACTCGATGAAATTACAGTTTCATCTGACAGCTGCTCCCATAACTATGCAGCGCCGACATCTCATTTCCGTCCCGTTCCTCGGGGCTGCCGCGGCGGAATGTAGTCTCCGGCTGCCGACCTCGCCCCGCCCCCGCTCCCCGCCACGCCTTCC